CGGTGGGCGGGATCAGTCTCGCCCAACGGCTGACGTAATCACTGGGAGGAGCGGCGGCGAGCAGAAACTACCGCCGAGGGACATCGGCGGGGTCTCAGGTAAGTGACCTGAAGGTGTTTTTCACCCCTTCAGCTACCAGGGGATGGGTGGTGGGAGGGAGAGGGGACCTGCAGTGCCAGGAAAACAGGCTGTTTTCCTGGCACTGGAGAGTCCCTTTAACACAAATTATGGGATATTTTAAAATGAAGCTTTAAATGGACTTTTAAATGGTCACATCTGTTATTGACACAGCTGAAGAAATCATTGAAAATTACCAGAAAGTTAGTTTAAGCTTTTTTTTATGAGATGCTCAGTTTTCTTTTAAATTTGTATTAAAGGCTCACTAAGCACCAGAACCACTACAGCCAGCTGTAATCAGTAAGCTTTATGCTATGTTGCCTTGGTACATATAAATGAGGCCAAAGAATCACACAAGATGGCAGACTGAACATCAGAAAAGGTCAAGAATATGCACAGCAGATGTTCGGGGAAATCACTGAACTCTGAACACTTAGCTGGCTGGTCTTTGCATGATGCTTGGTTTGTGCTAAACCTGTAAATTACATCATTATCAAGATTAACAATACAGCAAACTGGAAGTAGAGTTCTGTACGACAGTTGTAGGATTTATACACAGCATAAATAATCTATTACTAGTATTCACTGTTTGTTGCCAGGTGTAAAAATGTATTAGCAGCTCGAATTTATGTAATTTTAGGAGCAAACGCAATGTATTCTCTCTGATTTTATATATCCTAATTATGAGCAACCAAAATCAACTAAAATCTCTCAAAACTTAAACCTAGTGGAAATGATAGTTATACCTTATACCAAAGATCATGATCTCCAAAATGGATTGTTTTGCACACATCACTTCTGAAATATTTTGGATAAAGCATTAGACACAAACCTTTTGTAACTAGTCAGAAAATGATAATTCCCATGAATACAATTTGAATAAAAATATATACAAATATATACATTGCTAGAGGGTTCAAATTCCTTTTAAGACGCTCTCTAAAACGTAGACACAATAATGAATTCTGGTCTCCAGACACCTTAACCTCGCCGTGGAAATATGGAAGTTTCAAATTCTGCTTACCTGTCCAACCTTTGATATTAAATATATGCTGTGAGCACTGAGCTAGGCTGCTATCAGTTGTCATAGTCTATTACTGGCATTTAAGATTCAACACATTTGTTAATATGCAAATAAAACATCTACATCATCATTGAAGGCTGAGGGGATGAGTTTGAAAACCCTGATTTTGTTAAAAATATTGAAATCTGAAACAAACAAAAAACAGAAATGACTCCAAAGACTACTTGCACCATGACTGGCACAACATGATGTGGTGTTTCGTGTCCCCTTTAATGATACAAACAGGCAATGATATCCACTACACTTAGCAATTAATAAATATTGAGAGTACCATGAGGAAGGAAGGAAAAAACAAAACAAAAACAAACTTCAAAGGTGTTCTGAAAATATAGATTATGGAATTTTACCTTTAATAAGGTTTTGTCAAAACAAATAACACAGGGAAGTTTTAAAAATAAAGATTTAATCAGTAGAGACCAACCTTTTTTTATGCCTTTTCATTTCCACAGAAAACTAGCCAGTATAAGGTTGATGCTCCATGCATATTCTATGTGATGTGTGTGTGTGTGTGTATTAGGAGTGGCTGAATAAACATGTAAATTCTGAGCTTGACATTAGCAAGCAATCGCTTTTAGTTGAGGGCGAGAGGTAGGAATGCACCAACTAATTGCCCTGAGAAATGTAAGAGACCAAGCCCATTCTGTGTCAGGAAAGAAATTGAAACATACAAAGAATAAACTATAGTTTCTTTTTATATCAAACATTCTTGAAAAGGAGTTTGGCACAGTGCTAAATCATATATAGTTAACACTAGATATTTCAGAATACAATAAAATCGGGAGTTAAATCGTGTCTATACCCTTTTATAGGAATGAAAATAAAGATACCAGTTATTTCGAAGTCACTATACAAACTGTATAAACAATATTTTATGCCTTGAGTTGAAAACGACTGATAGTAAATTTTACATAAAAGACTGCAAAATAATATAATTGGATTTAAACAGCTTTACATTAAGAAATTCAAATGGAAACAGACAGGTAACAAAGAAGTAAAAAAATTTATTGCAGTATTATCTCCAGCAGGTATTCTGGGGATCCCTTTTCGTGTATAATTTCAGGGTGACCTAATACATCAAAATCTACATTTACAAAAAAAAAACCTCCTCCTGCAGATAGGTCATAGATACTGCATGCTTTTTTGTTTTCAACAGAATAAATTATATATATCCAGAGCATTCGCCACTTTACAGCCTGGAGAAAGAAAAAATAAAATAAAAAAAAATAAACAAAAATAAAATCAATGCTTCCCTGGAAACCGGGCTAAGCTAAAGAAAGCCATCCGCTGCTAGGTTAAACTCCAAGAACACTTTATTAAGAACATTAACAGACTAATTTTCAACATTCACTTGTTTATTTTTTGTAAAATTTTTTTGTTGTTTTTTTAAACAGAAAGTATTCTTCAAGATATAAACAATTTTTTGTTAAACTATAATACAGTGGGAGTAAAAATGAACTGAGAAGTTTCTGCTGTACAACAGCGAAGGAAGCTCCCACAAAATGTTTACCAAACATTTCCTTCACACGGCCAAGTTCCGTTCTTACTCTTCATAAAACTGATCTTTTTATCTTGTTTGTTAGGTTTAATTTTTTTGCCAGAATGCTGAGATTTCAAGTTTGTATCTGTTCTTGTTTTCCTGTAAATTTGGCTGCAAATATACAAATTTATTAGCTGGAAGTCCCGTCCTTGGCTGCATACAGCGATCGTAAAGTCTGAGCAACTTTATTAGTCAGCTTATTGGCGCTCGTTAGAGCGATTTTTTTGTAAATAATGTCTGACTCTTTTATAGTGTCAACCCAAGGCACCAGTTTTCTGCCATCACGGCGTTTTGCCTCGGCCCAAGGGCCCCTGTAGGAGCCAGCCATCCATTGAACACTGAAGCCGTGGCTGGTTTTCTGAACTACTTTTGCAATCTGAGGCCGATCCTTGTATTTTGGACAACAAATTGCAATAACATCCTGGACATCTACAGTTTCATTCATCTGTCCTGCCATGTCTGAAGAGTCTGATAATCTTTTCGATTTTCTCAACTACACGGGCAATGCAGGGGGGAAAGAAAAGAAACAAGTTTAAATGGAAGTCAGCATCAATCACAACAAACAACAAAAAGATTTACAACCCCAGGCACCGTGGTCTGGATACCACACCCAATCCAATCCAAGGGATGCATTAGAACCACCAGTGCCTAGAGAATGTCAGGTCTTTAATGTGTACCACTGACTTTACTGCTACTGCATTCAAAATTAAAAACTACTTTTAAAAAAAAATTACAAAAATATAGCAAGGAAATAGGGACAGAGTAGAAGAGGAAATCTAAATTAAAATTACCTTTTACTTTGGATAAATCTCAATTTCTACGTTTTTTTTTGCCTTTTCCGCTAAACCCTTTCTACAAAAAAAGATGTATAAAAGGTTAAGTCTAGCTACAAAATGGCTTCTTACCCCCACAGCAAATAAAAAAATGGTTAGAAAGTAACCCTAACTTAGACGACCACAACATAGGGACCAAACAGGCATAACCACATATCATCCCATAAAACACAGGCACAGTGTATAATTCAAGTTCAAATTCCAGACATTATCTCCCAGCCCATTATGCAATTTCCAGCACAGAGCAGAAGTAATTGATTGTTACATTAACATTTTGACATTACAGTGCTCAAGGGACATTAAATGAAAAGAATGTGAAGAATCGTTTTAGCTTACAATGCTTCCAGTGTTGGAGGGATGTTTAGCACAGGTGCCAAAATACTTCTCCAGGACAGAAAGTAGGAAAGCTTCATAATAATTTAACTGACCAATAAAGTTAGCTGATTGCAGGTGTGTTTTACAGAGATATAATGCCAAATCTGTTTCCCACCCCAACACAACAATTTTTTCTACTGATAGATAGTGCTCTAAGAGGAATTAAAAGGTGCAAGTATAGCAAGGAATAGGCTCTCCTATTTTATAATCCGGAATGGAATTTTGTGTAAAAGTCAGTAAGTATGTAGTTGCCCAATCACAAAAAAAAAATAATACAAATGTAAGAGGCCTATTTCACACCATGGGTGCCCCAGACTTTAAAAAATTATATATTGTATATTTCATATTCTGTATTGTGTTTACAGCTGTGCTATGGGAAATATGTAATGTAACCACATATGTACAGCCAGAGTAATCAGTAACACAGTGACATCCACTGCTTTAGTGACTACTCCAACAGTAAAATGCACAATGTGATCACAAATTCTGATAAAATGTAATTTGGAGGGGGGGTGGGAGGGGAGGGAACGTATAAAACTCTTAGCAGCCGCCACCATGCATACAACATGAATTAGTAGGAAAAACATGGAGGATTTTAAAAGAAGCTGCTGGTAGAATAGCAGGAGGTAGCTATTAGCTTAGGAGGTAAGAAGCTTGCAACAGACCAAAAAGTAGGAAAAGACGAGGCAGAAAGAGCAGGGGTTCATTTTAAAGACCACAAATCATACACTCAGGGAACAGAGCAGCAAGGACATCCCGAAGGCTTGGATTAAAACATTTCCCATTTTAATCATATAAAACATGCACATATCAATCCCAAAGAGAACAAGCAATAATTTACAGAATTAAAAACAGTACATTAAAAGCTGTTAGTTTAGAGTCTCATGCACATTGCAAATGAAGACATTCCTGCATAATTAGTACAGGGAAGGCCATGAGTTGATATGGGGTATCTGCACGCTACTTCCCTGTACAAAGAATACAGATCAAGAAATTAATTTATAAAAAAAAAAAAAAATTGAAAAAAGCACCAAGACATTTCCACATTAATACTTACCCCCGACGTGCCTCCAGCTTTCTCCTCTCCATCACTCTCTTCCTCTTCAGTCTCAGCCACATTGTTCTTAGGGCTGTTACCACCAAGCAATGAGGTAATGGCTTTATTTCGAGCATCTGTGCTAGCTGATACCTCGCCTTCCTCCTCCTCTTCATCGGGATCTAAATGCTCCATTAGTAACTTGAACTAGAGAAACAAAAGAAAAGAGGGGAAAAAAGAGAAATAAAAAAAATGGCCACGATCCATTAAAATTTAATAAAAATGAAGTGCTGTATATATCTACCAGTCTTACTTATAATGATATGTATCCTCTAGGAGGAAAACTCTCCCTGTAAATATGCTCAATTATTCTACTTCTTGAAATGCTAAAAACACCCTTTATATCAGTGGTAGTCAACCTTTTTCCACTTAACGCCCACTAATGCATCTTTCTTGATGGAAAAATGTCCTTACCGCCCACCAGTTTTCGCGCAAGCGCAGAATATTTTTTAGAAGGGAGGGTGTTTTTTAAAAATAAATAAATGTACGTGCATTTAACTTTTTATTTATACTTTATGCATGTTTATAATGTTTTTAACTTTGTAAAGTTTAATGAGGAAGCAAAAAAGTAAATTGAAATTACCTTTACTAGTGATTAATGAGATCCTTGAGGTTGATGCTGCGAGACTAAATATTTGATATCTGGTTCGATTTTCGTAAGGAACAAACGAAGGTCTCCTCTTTCGGTGATAATCAGAAGACTTCTTTGTTTGCTCATAAAATGATTTCTCATCTGTGCGTCAGCTCCCCTCCTCTCCCTCCTCAATTCCCCTCCCCACCTTTTTTTTCCCTTTTCTCTATTTTTTAACCTTACTTATAGCAATGCCCAGTAGGAAGGCTGAGCTAGGTAGCCCACTTACTATTATTAGTCAACAACAATTCTCTCCTTTTCCTTCCTTCTCCTTTTTTACAAGTACTCTGCACCTTCTTTCTTCTATTCTACAAGTACTCTGCTCGCAGACACACACTCACACACACACACTTAATGACACACACACACACACACTTAATGACACACACACACACACACTTAATGACACACACACACACACTTAATGACACACACACACACACACACACACTTAATGACACACACATACATACACACACTTAATGACACACACACACATATATACACTTTCAGACAAACACATATACACACAAATTATAATTATTAAATGTCCACCCAGCCTCCCTACCTGGAGAGCTGGTGTGGATCTGTCCCTGGGGTCCAGCGGGGCTTCGCTTCGGCGGGCGGCTAATCAGACGCGGCGAGGGAGCTCTAACCTCTCTGCTCTGCTCCCTCGCGGACTGTCTACTGATGCCGGGAGCCGGAATAGGACGGCATCAGCAAACATCGTGCGAGGGAGCAGAGCAGAGAGGTTAGAGCTCCCTCGCCACGTCTGATTAGAACTCTGCCATGCCAGGGGGGTCCAGAAGGTGGCCTGGCAGGAGGGAGCACTTCCTCCTGCCGGTCACTGAAGACTTGCGCACGCAGAGCCGCTCGCGCCCGCCCAAAAGGAGAAATCCTCTTAAAAAGAGGATTTAGCCTCCGAAATCCCTACCACCCACCTGGAATCCTGAAACGCCCACTAGTGGGCGGAAGGGACCAGGTTGACGACCCATGCTTTATACAAATCACAATAACACTGTAATACACGGCTCACATGACATTAAGCCAAATTAAATACACATTTTAAAAAATACATTTTAAAAAAAAAAAAAAAAAACTTACATCCAAATATTGCTTTGCAATAGTCCTCTTAGTATCTTCATTAAGCTTTCCACACGTCATATCCCTCTTCAGAAACTCAAGAGTCTGCTTAGGATGGAAATGGACTCCGGTTTTTCGGTTTATAGCCTTGTCATACACTTTAGCAGACTCAGAAGGAGAATATTTCTGAATTTTACTGCAGATCAAGAAACAGAACCTCAATGACTTACAATTAACATTCTGAAAATCACATTAGCTAAATAAATCAGCTTACTGAAAATATCACACTATTAATTTGTAATTGTTTTTAAATCTGATCTACCCACAGTTATTCAGTTAACACAACCATCAAGTGGAGAGTTGGCAACTGCAGTTCTGTGAGAAGGTGTTTTACTTTTTGGACTGTTAAACAGTCTCACAACAGTCATCATTATGCATCATCTATAAGTTTTTAGAAGAAGAATAAAATACATTTTTAAATGACTCCTTCATATGAAGCCACAGAAAATGCACAAGATGTTTTAAGATTATTTTTAAGTTTTTGAATGGGTAAGAAATCAGAAATCAACTGTTTCCATTGTATTACAAAAGGAAAACTGAATTCTGCTGTGGTCATTTGCAACAAATGTCAATTTACCTATCTGAAAAGCCACACAAGTTCTTCAAGTGCTGTTTCAACATCAAAAGCAGCAAGATTCCTTGAGAGGCATTTGCGAACTCAATTAGCGGTCCAGCATTCTCTGGTAAACAGCTTAGGACATGATCTACATCATCCTCGCCATCAGAGTCAGACTCCGAATTGGCTCGCCGTCGCGTTCTTCTCGGTCGGACCACTTCCTCCTCACTTTCACTTCCGCTTTCTTCTTCAGAGGCTGGCTTTTTCACTTTCGGCTTTCCCTTCACCATGGACTAAAAATAGATATATGTTTTTTACTTGACATCAACATAAACGATCTATATCAGTTATTGCCAAGCATGCCATTGTAGAGGTTTTGTGACCTAAAATATGATGCACAGCCAGTGCTAAGGTTAGCCACTGCAGATCTACAGATTGCTTTTTAACAATAGGTGTTTTATTTTGTTTAAATATGTGATGTCTGACATTATGTGTAATTATTGGGACCATTTAAAACCTGTAGCTTCACTATCTGATGACATAATGTAAATTGTCTTTTCAATGTCTAATGTAAAGATACTCCATATCATCTAACATGTAATGAGTAATGTATATTAACTAGACAAAACAGCAATTTGGAAATCCCATACTTCAATTGCTCAAGTGTCGCATGTCCATTAAATGCAAATCTCGATAAAATTACTTTTGATACTGAACAGTTCTAGTCTCTACGTTTAAAGCCTTGACTGGTAACAGACTCACCTCTCTGAAGGACTGTAGCAGATTGCTACCAGAAACGGATAATGTAATGTCTATATGATGCATGATGAAAAGGGGCTCTTCCTGTGTCTGATATGGAAAGCAAGCAAGATTGTCTGCTATATACAACAGCATATTCACTTCCGTTTTCTACAGAAAAACACATTTTAAACAAATTAGAAAAGTACATAAAGCCATTTACCACTAGAATACACATGACATGAACAATGTAAAACAACTGTGAAAACCGCTAAAAAATTATTCGTACCGCAGCATCATCAAACAGGTTGAGCAGAGATATGAGAAAGGCCCTCCTATGCTGACGGTTCCCTCGAATCATGGAATAAAGGTGGGAACACAGAGCGCTGCTAGTCTCATCTTGCCTGAACCCCCTCAGCATGCGCTTTTCGTTAGAAATGATTGCTTGCTGCACTTGGTAGGACATCTTTATGCCGGCAACAGCTTTCATCTGTAAAATAAAATTTAAAAAAACAGGAAATCAAATCTACTTTTCAATTCCCAAAAGAAAGAGTGATATAGTAAGTAATAAATAGTAAGTAATACAATATTCCAGCATTTTTTAAGTTTTGGTGTCTTAAGTTTACCCTTGAGATAGCTAGGGCTAAAGCAGCGACCCTTCCAAATTAAATAAGGTGCCTAGTCAATACAGGCTTTAAAGCAATTCATAAATAAAAAGATGAGAGCATGTCCTCAGTGGGAGGTGTGTACATTCAGAAACCACTGATGAACAGAATCATAAGGATTTAACTGAAAAAGGAGATAGTATATTATTTATAAGCAAGAGAGTACACTTGCAACACCCTTTACAAACAATCTGTCATTAAAAATAGTTTGACAGGAAATAAAACATATCTATGTATGAAAACATTGTAAACTAGTCTCAAGTAAGGATACATTTGCGTTACTGTGAAAAATTAAGAGGACAGCACTGTAGGTGTTATAGCAATGTGACATGCACTTACATGAATGAATCCAGTGTATTTCTTGTCTATTTCCACAAGCTGCTGATCTGATTTGTTCCGCATGGACGGCTCAGGGTCTGTTCCCATGGCAATCAGATATGGCACACACTGAAAATGGCACAAGCAAAATAAGGCATTATATGAAACACTATCACCAATAAATTGAAACCTGAAAGACAGTCCATATTATAGAAAGGTTTACTGGACTTCTGTAGTAAGAAAGGCTATGGCTTTCTACCTGAACAGGATGAATGAGGCCTTGATTTAAAGTCAAAGCAATGACATTGAGAGCGAAGTGGCGCACACTGGATTGGGTGCTGAAGAAAGACTCCAGGACCTGCTTGAGGTAAAGCTGCATAATGGAGCTGCTCATCCCTGAGGAAATATCTCCCATTTCTTTTAAGTCTTCTTGCTTGGACATCTTTTTCCCTAAAGATCAGGGCAAAGGTCACTTTAGTAAAGACTACAAACACCATGCAACCATAAGGAAATAAACAGAATCAAACAGACAATATGGAAATACAGTTACTGTGATCACATGCGTTGGTGAAAGGATATCACATTGTGACTGTCCCTGCTATATACTGTGCAGCATCCCAAAACTGCATCTGAGCACTATTGCGTTTGAGTATGCAATTCATTGCCATGAGCATAGTGCAACAACTTCAAGCAAAAATACATAAATAATGATGTATTTTATTTGGCTTGCACAGTGTGAAATTTGATGCCATTTGAAAATAGATTACATTTTATTTTCCTATGAAGTGCAAGTGTTTCAAAGTTACATGACAGGGTGTCTGTTAAAGTCTAATAGCCTTAATATTCTCCAATAGCAGGGCATGCAATTGGCTATGGACGGTCTATGAAAAGCTTCCAGCACCAGAGCATGGTCTCTGTAACTTACAGTCTCGGTCTGCCTGTTGCATCCGCGTGTCTTCTTCTTGCAAGTAGGTTTGAAGGTTTTTTAAAACCTGAATTTTCAAATTCACCGAGCAGTTCTTATCTGATAGGAGGTTGTTGTATAGATTTTTCACGTCCACTTCAAACATTAGAATCGGGTGCTGGATAAATGAAAAACCTTAGGAGAACAAATAGCATAATGAGCCACAGTAATAGGAAGTAAACTCAGGCCATAGCTTGAAACTCCATAGGTGGAAAATGATTTAAGCATGAACTGTAACTTTAAAAACAATGTGACAGGAATACAATTAACTGAAGGTAAGAATATGAAATCACTTACCAAGACCGATAATGGCTTTTGTCTGTACCTCCTCATCTGAATGCTTTGTAAAGTACAACAATAGCTCAAGAACTTTATCTTTTATGTTCACCTGAAAAATGAAACCAAAAAAAATCATTTTCATTGGTATTGAAATGGTTGGACAAAGCTTGAACTACATAGTGCTTTTGTGATAGATGCAAAATAGTATATCAGTGGTGGCTCGGCAGGCAACTACAACTCCCATAACATTTTCAGCTTGGAAGTCTTGAACAGAAACTGAGAATTTTACTCTACTGTGTAAATGCCATGGTCCTGTAAATACTAAATAGTAGCATTTAAATACAGCATGTGAGATATTGAGGTATGAAACTTCAAGAAGCTAATAATGAAATATTTACATAGGTGCAACTATTAAAATGACAAAAGAAAATGTCCTATGAGTTGTGAATGTTTACTTAAAGCCACATGCCTCCAAGTGACGTCTATAAATATGATTCTCATGTCAAGTCCTATCAGACTACTAGACAATAGGGAACTAATAACATTCACACCTTCAAACATAAGCACTAATTTAATGATGGAATAAAAACAGTATCAGCGCTTAGTTAATATACCCCTATTTTTTGTATATGGGTCAACAACAAAAATATATTGAATAAATTAAATAAAGAGTCCCAGTTTCAATCTTCATGGGGTGTTTTCAAATGTCCGCAGGGATTTGATAGTTGTAACAGTAATTGGTGTAAAAAGACTTTGTCTTTATATGTATCCAACAATTAAAAGTGGTGAAACTTATTTCTAAGGTTCACAATAAAAACGTAGAAATGCAGAATATTGGTGGTGAATATAAAGTTACCGCTCCATGGGTGTTATTTCCAGACCGGTCCTGTGCACTCGGATCGATCCTCACTGAGAAGCCAACTAGCCAATCTTACTGCAGGTCTCTCCAAATTCAAAAATCCCGCCAGAAACGCGTAGATCGTGTTTCAGAATTTGGAGAGACTGCAGTAAGATTGGCTAGTTGGCTTCTCAGTGAGGATCGATCCGAGTGCACAGGACCGGTCTGGAAATAACACCCATGGAGCGGTAACTTTATATTCACCAACCAATATTCTGCATTTCTACGTTTTTATTGTGAACCTTAGAAATAAGTTTCACCACTTTTAATTGTTGGATACATATAAAGACAAAGTCTTTTTACATCAATTACTGTTACAACTATCAAATCCCTGCGGACATTTGAAAACACCCCATGAAGATTGAAACTGGGACTCTTTATTTAATTTATTCAATATATTTTTGTTGTTGACCCATATACAAAAAATAGGGGTATATTAACTAAGCGCTGATACTGTTTTTATTTCAATTTATGTCACACATGATGTTTTAAAACTTGGGAAGGTTTTTAGTGTATCCGGCAGCTTTGTATTAACTTTTTCTTGTGGATAATCATAATTTGAAGCACTTGCTTCGAAAATCCACTATTTTACTGATATTTTTTTTGCGCTCTCTATAAACCTGTTTTTTTCACTAATTTAATGATTTTTACATGCAATGGCAATGAATGAGATGAAAAAAATGGATTACAAACCGCAATATTTACTTTACTGCTTCCTTTGAAGTCTTCCTGATCAAAATCAAAATGGCGACACAATGCTCCAACTGTAAAGAGGGATCGAAGAAGTGCTGGCTTGTTTGTAGTGAGGACAGTACTGTTTGGGTCTTCTTGATGCTGACTTTTTAATTTTAAAAGTGCTCCTGTAAGAAAAAAAGAAAAAAAAATTTACAAAAAGAACAAAAAACTAAATTTATAATACAAAACTATACAAAATAAACACGCTCAAACTACACATACACCTGTGCGACATGTTGGCTTTTATTTAGAGCATAAAGTAAATGCCAAGAGAGCTACACAACAGGGAGCTTCTACTCCTACAGCACATCTGCAAAACCAACTTATACCACACAGGTGACAATATCAGAATTCTTGCCACACAGACTATTAAAACTATTTCAAAACAAATATACATTTTAAATACCAGCAGAAATCTATGGTAATATTATCTCTAGCAGTTTTTAGATATTTTGCAAAGATAGGAAAAAGATTTAACAATGAAGTATATCCTAGATGTAAGATGTCCGTGTTTCATCTATACCAGGGATAGGCAACCTTCGGCACTCCAGATGGTGTAGACTACATCCCCCATAATGCTTACTCCCATAATGCTGGCAAATCATCATGGGAGGTGTAGTCCAACACATCTGGAGTGCCGAAGGCTGCCTATGCCTGGTCTATACAAATAAATCGAATAATAGACATGACGTTCCCGAACTATGCATATAGCATTACTTATAACGAACACCGTGCTGTTTATATTCATGACAGACTAAACCTCTGAGCCAGCAACCAATACAACTGGTGTTGTCAAGAGTTTCAAAAATATTAACACTATGCAGCCTAACTTGTGCTTACAAGTCACAATACTTTCTTACCATAATATCTGTTAAAACAGGCCCAAACAAACTTATAATTTTGGGTTACTTTATTTACAACCGCTCCCAGACAACTGACACAATGCTGGACCACCTGAAATGGAAATAAATAAGATTAAATGTTAGTATAAATACACATACATTCACGATATACATTATATATACTGCAAGCCCAGAGGGATAATGGTATACTCACCAGGGGTGAACATTTTGAGCAGTGTGTGTATTTTTGCTTATATATAAAATACACACATATATTCAATAATAGGGTTTCAAAAATCAAGCATATCATTTCAAATGTACTATAGGTTATACCAATGATGTCTAGCTTTGGCAATGGCTTTAATTTAAATGCTGAAAGTATTAGCCATCACTAGAGTGCTCTGTTAATTGCACATGTAAATGAATGGACTTCATGTACATGGAATCATTCCATATAGCACTGGCACTATACGTTATCAAGTTGGTGCTGGACAGCAGTGACATCACATGTGATGTCTTACGTGTGGTAAGCCGCATGATGTGCACATAGGAATGTTATGTTTAAAGTATCACTATAGGCACCCAGACCACTTCAGCTCAATGAAGTGGTCTGGGTGCCAGGTCCATCTAGGGTTAACCCTGCAGCTGTAAACAGTTTCAGAGAAACTGCTATGTTTACAATAGGGTTAATCCAGACGTCACATTGAGAAATGCTTTCCTATAGACTGATTGAATGAGCACAGCTCTTGACGTGCATGCGCATTCAGCGCTGACGTCGGAAGATGGAGAGAGTTCCCCAACGCCGAGGGAGCCCAACGCTGGAGAAAGGTAAGATTTTAACTCTTTCCGCCCGGCGAGAGTGGGACCCGGAGGGTGGGGAGGGGATCTAAAGACCCTATAGTGCCAGAAAAACAAGCTTGTTTTCTTGGCACTATAGTGGTCATTTAAGGGGTCAATTTGACTACCTATTTCAACGGTAAACATACTAAAATCATTAGCAGCACTATTTAACATATTTAACAAACATCTTTGGATCAGAAGATTGAAAAAGCAAAAATAATACTTGCTACCTCAGATACAATATAATTTCTACACGACCAAAAAGAAAACCGATAAGCACTATATATAAATGTTAGTGAAGAATGAGTGGCTTACCGTCATGCCGTATTTGATAATAAGCTTCATGAGATCTTCCTCAATTGTTGCCAAGAATGTCTCGCTGGGGTGCTCCATAAGCGGGACAACCAATTCTAAGATTTTGGCAACATTGCATATCACCATGAAATCATTTTGTGTCTGTTAAAAAGAAAACCGTGTGAAATGCATTTAAAAAAATGAGGGGGACCAAGATCACCGTACAAGTTAATTTAGGCTTCAACATTTCAATTTAAAGGTATAATGTGAATGAATCCTTTTTCATTTCATTCTGGTTAAAGTATTGCATACAGCATTATTCACTTAAAAAAAAAAAAATTTAAAAAAAGAATATTGCCAGATATTCAAAGTGAATTTAAAATGCAAAGCAAAAATAGCGGAACTGGAAGCATAGCTAACTATTACAACCAGTTTGGCAATTTTGGCCTTAAATCGGAAATTAATTTTGCATTGCCAACAATTTTTCCTTTAGTAAATAACACTCATAGTTTCTCTATTATGGCCATCAACCTTAAATTAGTTCACTGAGTTTGTGTTGCAGATAGTAAATATCTCAATGCAGTGGGAGTTTATAATTCTACCTAAACTAGAGATGTATTATTATTTTGCTTTTTAAAGGGAATTTGAAAAGCATGCCTACTGAGCAAAACAGAGGACATTTAAATACCAATTAAAAATAAATAAATACAAGATTCAAAAAAACGGTTTGTAAAACAGATTACATGGGGAGTACATGAAGTCTGCTAAGCTTGGAATATTGTGTCATATGTACTTACGCTACATTTAGTGGTAAGGTAAGGCTGCATGGTCATGGCATGCTTAACCATAAGCTGAGGCCGGATTTTGCTGAATAAGAACAGAGTGGTTATGCAAGCAACCAAACGACCGGAATTCACACCTTTGCTGTCAGTCTCTGTAAATAAAATACAAACAGGGGATTAAAAAGACATCAGTGAAATAATTTACTAAGCCTGGAGTGCTGAAAGAAAAGTAGTTTTCTTTGCAACAAACTGAAGATGAAGGGTGGGATAATGTGCCATAACTACAAGTTCAAAAAACACAATTATATGCTTTAATGGATTTATTTTTTTTTTGAATGATGAGATTCGAAACTAGTCAAAAAGTTTTTATTTTAAAAATAAACTTTTTTTTCTTGCCGCCTTGGAAAATCTGCTTGGCTTTTAGGGTTCCTCCTTTCTTCCAGAGAACGCATCTGAGGTGAGTTACAACGTTTAAGGGGTCTGTGATGTATGCATTACAAAATTAGGCTGAAATAATAGCTTTGGAAGAACATACCAGCCATGGACTCCTCGTATTTCAGGATGTGCTCGACAAGGTTGTCAACCAGCTGGGTGCAGGCTTTCTTCACGGGTTTATATGAAGCATCTTCTTCGATCTTTAACAGCTATCAAGCAAACACAGTCACGGTGTAAAACAAATCTGTTAAGTGATTAGGTCTTATTTAACTACTCAAGCCAAAATGTTATGTTTAGCAACAAAAAATGCCAAGTTAGAGCTATCCATTTATTGCACCCTCGATCAGATGAGAGGAGACCAGAATAGCTTGTGGAATTAGAATAGAAGAATGTGGGGAATAGTGAGAACATCAAGAGCAGCGGTGTAATCTATGATCGAGACATATAACATCAAAATTGCAAATATCTGTTAAGTGCTCTCCCTTGTATAATGAATAGCACAGTTTAATCAGCAATAGTGCCAAGTCCTACATAAAACTTTTAGAGGGATGCACAGTTTCCAGGTGCAAGGGTAGACCAAAAGTAGGTAATTAGATTTTTAGCTATACTCACATTCTGAAGAAGTTGCTCAAACCAGTCATAGCCTGTATCCCTACAAGCTGCAACCTAAAATACGGAGGGGTACAGTGAATAACTAGATAATAATTGCAACAATACATTACGTTAAGTTAGGAAATATATCCTTTCTTACCACGTCTGTTATATTCAGGATTTTCCTGGTCATTGCTTCCTTATCGTTCTGAGGTGTTGGGGTGAACCAGAGCTTCTGGAATGTTTCATTTACTAGTTTCTGAAAGAAGTGATTATTTTACTTCCATTACATGTAGACATTATTAATCTGCACACATTTCATGTGGGAAGGGGTGGGGGGTACGGTATATAAATTCAAAATGAGACCTCACGAGAGAGAGAGAGAGAGAGAATACACATATATAATCATGGAAAATGAGGAAAATTAATTGTGCAGACAGTGTTTGTGAGAAACATTCTTATACAAGAGCACAAAGAGGAGAAATTAATGCAGAAAATAGAATGCTAGTCATAGAAAGGATTTAAAAATGCCTGTAAATTTTTTTTTTTTTTTGAGAGAAAAAGGTCCTTACAGAAACAAATATCTGTACTACTACTTGTTTATTAAATCTACACTATGAGAAAATTAGGAAGAGCAGGTCAGGTGGACACATGAACATTTTTCTAAATGAGACATGTGATATAATATTTCAAATAGTGTGGAAATGGCTGAAAATTCAAAAAAAATCGATTAAATAGATGGCAGATCATGAACAATCTTTCAAAACTTGGGGCAAAATAACTAAATGAAAGGAGGGAAAAAATCATCTCATTTGGTTGATTTGTAGAAATAAGTCTGTTACTTTGGTCAAATTTAGTCTGTGCTCACTCACCTTTCATGAATACACTGAATGTCATTAAAATAAAGTTCTCTGGTTTAAACAAAAGGTATGCAAGACAAAATACCCCTTTTGGTGGTTTTACTGTGCAGCAATGATATATGCAAAAATGTTTTTTTTCTTTTCTTCTTACCTTAATGCCCTCCTCATCATTCACTCTGCGGATCATTTTCACACACATCTCAGTGATTTTTGGAAATGTTGGTTGCTCCAAGCAAATGTCTCTTAAGATTTTTATTACTCTTTTCCTTACACTGATACCAGTGTCCTGCACACAGACAAGAATGGAACAATCATGAAAACCTTTATTCATACAATAGCTTGTTATTCAAGTTTTAGGAACCAGATATTGTGAACAGAATTGTTGTACTTGACAGACAACCCCCTATGCTCTCATTTAATATTAGAACGATTTCCATTTCTTTTTTTTAAAGTAACTCATTTTAAAGTTGCTGTTAAAAAGAGCAAATATTTACTTTTATGAGAATGGTAGATTTTATTCCTACCTTATCTGAAGTACCTAAAAAGCAACGATCTTATTTTTATTTAAAGCAATTGGTTTGAAATGGAAATATAATTTTTTTTTCTTGTGTATTTTTCAGACACAAATTGCAGTGTTGTATGGATTTTGTAAAATGAGTAAGTTCAATTGCAGAAAAATACAGCACATTTTACTCAGCAGGAAATGTACAAGCTCTGCAGTAGCAACAATCCCAAATCAGAAATTTGTCAGATGAGACATTAAAAAACCGAAAAAACACACTTTTAAAAACCCATACGTTTCAGCATCATGTCCTTAATCATGTATGATTACATGATTAAGGCTGTGAGATGAAAGGTTGTAAATGTGTAGGTCTGACAATAAATCTCTGATTTTAGATTGCCGTTATTGTGCAGCCTGTAATTTTTCCTGCTGTTTACATTAGTTGGGGATTACGGATCCACCATACAGTGCACTCCAGTGGTTGCAGTTGTTATTTTGTTACATTTCCTATGTCCAACACTTTGTCTATTGCACTGGTAAGTTTTACTCCGCTAAATCCCCAAAGTAACGACATGTGCAGAAATGAAATCTTTTCCGACTTGACTTTTGTCACTTACTAATTTTTGGGAAGCTGCAGATCGGCCAGACTACAAACATAACAAGTTAAGGCTATCTCTGCATTAGCTCATTGACACCTAAAGGAACCTATCACTGATTCCATGTAAAGGTGAGTTATATCACACATGTAGCTTGTGATCACTCAGATCACACACTGTCATTCTCTCCAGTAATGGAATGAAGTCAGTGAGCTATCACAGCAGAAGCTAGCAATCACTCAGCTAACACACTGCTTTCCTCTACAGTTAACAGAATGAGATCAGTGAACTATCACATTATTAGCTAGTAATCACTCAAATACACAGTTATTCCCTCCAATAACAGAATGAGATCAGTGAGCTATCACAGTATTAGCTAGCAATCACTCAGCTAACACACTGTTATTCCCTTCAATAACAGAAGGAGATCAGTGAGCTATCACAGTATTAGCTAACAATCACTCAGATAACACACCGTTATTCCCCCCAATAACAGAATGAGATCAGTGAGCTATCACAGTATTAGCTAGTAATCACTCAGATAACACACAGTTATTCCCTCCAATAACAGAATGAGATCAGTGAGCTATCACAGTATTAGCTAGTAATCACTCAAATACACAGTTATTCCCTCCAATAACAGAATGAGATCAGTGAACTATCACAGTATTAGCTAACAATCACTCAGATAACACAGTTATTCCCTCCAATAACAGAATGAGATCAGTGAGCTATCACAGTATTAGCTAGTAATCACTCAGATAACACACCGTTATTCCCCCCAATAACAGAATGAGATCAGTGAGCTATCACATTATTAGCTAGTAATCACTCAGATAACACACAGTTATTCCCCCCAATAACAGAATGAGATCAGTGAACTATCACAGTATTAGCTAACAATCACTCAGATAACACACCGTTATTCCCCCCAATAACAGAATGAGATCAGTGAACTATCACAGTATTAGCTAGTAATCACTCAGATAACACACAGTTATTCCCTCCAATAACAGAATGAGATCAGTGAGCTATCACAGTATTAGCTAGTAATCACTCAGATAACACACAGTTATTCCCTCCAATAACAGAATGAGATCAGTGAGCTATCACAGTATTAGCTAGCAATCACTCAGATAACCGTTATTCCCTCCAATAACAGAATGAGATCAGTGAGCTATCACATTATTAGCTAGTAATCACTCAGATACACAGTTATTCCCTCCAATAACAGAATGAGATCAGTGAGCTATCACAGTATTAGCTAGTAATCACTCAGATAACACACAGTTATTCCCTCCAATAACAGAATGAGATCAGTGAGCTATCACATTATTAGCTAGTAATCACTCAGATAACACACAGTTATTCCCTCCAATAACAGAATGAGATCAGTGAGCTATCACAGTATTAGCTAGTAATCACTCAGATAACACACAGTTATTCCCTCCAATAACAGAATGAGATCAGTGAGCTATCACAGTATTAGCTAGCAATCACTCAGATAACCGTTATTCCCTCCAATAACAGAATGAGATCAGTGAGCTATCACATTATTAGCTAGTAATCACTCAGATACACAGTTATTCCCTCCAATAACAGAATGAGATCAGTGAGCTATCACAGTATTAGCTAGTAATCACTCAGATAACACACAGTTATTCCCTCCAATAACAGAATGAGATCAGTGAGCTATCACAGTATTAGCTAGCAATCACTCAGATAACCGTTATTCCCTCCAATAACAGAATGAGATCAGTGAGCTATCACAGTATTAGCTAGTAATCACTCAGATAACACACAGTTATTCCCTCCAATAACAGAATGAGATCAGTGAGCTATCACATTATTAGCTAGTAATCACTCAAATACACAGTTATTCCCTCCAGTAACAGAAGGAGATCAGTGAGCTATCACATTATTAGCTAGTAATCACTCAAATACACAGTTATTCCCTCCAATAACAGAATGAGATCAGTGAGCTATCACATTATTAGCTAGTAATCACTCAAATACACAGTTATTCCCTCCAATAACAGAATGAGATCAGTGAGCTATCACATTATTAGCTAGTAATCACTCAAATACACAGTTATTCCCTCCAGTAACAGAAGGAGATCAGTGAGCTATCACATTATTAGCTAGTAATCACTCAAATACACAGTTATTCCCTCCAATAACAGAATGAGATCAGTGAGCTATCACATTATTAGCTAGTAATCACTCAAATACATAGTTATTCCCTCCAATAACAGAATGAGATCAGTGAGCTATCACATTATTAGCTAGTAATCACTCAAATACACAGTTATTCCCTCCAGTAACAGAAGGAGATCAGTGAGCTATCACATTATTAGCTAGTAATCACTCAAATACACAGTTATTCCCTCCAATAACAGAATGAGATCAGTGAGCTATCACATTATTAGCTAGTAATCACTCAAATACACAGTTATTCCCTCCAATAACAGAATGAGATCAGTGAGCTATCACAGTATTAGCTAGCAATCACTCAAATACACAGTTATTCCCTCCAATAACAGAATGAGATCAGTGAGCTATCACAGTATTAGCTAGTAATCACTCAAATACACAGTTATTCCCTCCAATAACAGAATGAGATCAGTGACCTATCACAGTATTAGCTAGCAATCACTCAGATACACAGTTATTCCCTCCAATAACAGAAGGAGATCAGTGAACTATCACAGTATTAGCTAGCAATCACTCAGATAACACACAGTTATTCCCCCCAATAACAGAATGAGATCAGTGAGCTATCACAGTATTAGCTAGTAATCACTCAGATAACACACAGTTATTCCCTCCAATAACAGAAGGAGATCAGTGAGCTATCACAGTATTAGCTAACAATCACTCAGATAACACACCGTTATTCCCCCCAATAACAGAATGAGATCAGTGAACTATCACAGTATTAGCTAACAATCACTCAGATAACACACAGTTATTCCCTCCAGTAACAGAAGGAGATCAGTGAGCTATCACAGTATTAGCTAGTAATCACTCAAATACACAGTTATTCCCTCCAATAACAGAATGAGATCAGTGAACTATCACAGTATTAGCTAACAATCACTCAGATAACACAGTTATTCCCTCCAATAACAGAATGAGATCAGTGAGCTATCACAGTATTAGCTAGTAATCACTCAGATAACACACCGTTATTCCCCCCAATAACAGAATGAGATCAGTGAGCTATCACATTATTAGCTAGTAATCACTCAGATAACACACCGTTATTCCCCCCAATAACAGAATGAGATCAGTGAACTATCACAGTATTAGCTAACAATCACTCAGATAACACACCGTTATTCCCCCCAATAACAGAATGAGATCAGTGACCTATCACAGTATTAGCTAGTAATCACTCAGATAACACACAGTTATTCCCTCCAGTAACAGAAGGAGATCAGTGAGCTATCACATTATTAGCTAGTAATCACTCAGATACACAGTTATTCCCTCCAATAACAGAATGAGATCAGTGAGCTA